GCACTTCTACTTTACGCCAGTCTTCTGTGAGGTTGTGGTACTTAGCTGGATGGGCCTGCCCATTCGTGCAACATTGAACACTGTTGCATTGTTACCACAGTTAAATGTACCTTTGTCACTGTGAGATTGGGTTGGGTCTATAGTATTTTTTTGTTTTTATATTTTGTTCTTATTTCCAAGTTCGTAACGTGTTTAGTTCCATTTTAAAATTAAATTCATTTGAATAAAATAAGCATTGTAGGCTGCTTATTAGTTTTTTTTATAAACAATTTACAGAAAATAAAACAAGAATACAGTTTACAATTTCATATTAAGTGATCCGAAAAACTATGCAAGCTTAAGTCCTGAAGCCGGCCATAATGAAGTTATTGCCAGCTCAAGCGTGTATATATAAATATATGAAAGACGTTCAAATTGATCTCATGCGTTTTTTCCTTTTAATAGGTCTGATGTTCTCCGTTTCAGTCCTTAGACTTTTAAAGCTTTAGTACAATTTTCAGATTCCATGGTCTTGAGCTTGAGTTCTTGTCTGTTTCGCCCTATCAATGGTACAATATGTTGGTACTAGAATGATGTGTTATGTACAATAAAGCACGCTCTTAGTGCATACAATAAATTAAAATCTTTGTAAACATTTATCAAAGTTTCAATGGACTTATTTAATGTCAATAATAATATCCTAAACACTTATTTAATGTCAATAATTTAATTAAGTATTATCGTGACTACTAACATGTGTAATAATCCATTAAAATGAAACTTTCATCTATCGTGTAACGTTTTGCGAATTATATGAGCAATCTTTTGGATGCTAAAACTCAGTTATTAAAATATCATTATAAAGCTTAACTTGAATGTAATCATATGTTCTTTTTTTCTTAGTGTGCAGAATCTAAAGAATTGTAGAATCATAAATCTTGCAATGGCTCAAATTGTCATTTTTTTCAGTATATGTCTCATATGTTTTTATTTTTAAATCATTAAAATGAAATAAATATTTATTTCTGCTCTATAAATAATCTGTGATACAAATATTTTAAATATAGGTAGTCTAGGATAGGATAGTCTAGTAGGATAGTCTAGGATATTTTTAGACGAAGTACGAACTTTGACATAATGTTAATTTAGCATTCCATAATTAAAAAAAATATTGATATTTTATTTTGACAAGAAATAACCAGAAAAATATCAATTCAAATATTGTTTGTTTATCCCGTTAAGAGTGGTCACCCTATTGATAAGCGGTTTAGTAATTATGCGTTCAGTGAAAAGTTTTAGTGCTCGTCAATAGGTTATTGTATTGAGACGGTAAGGCAGGAATTTCTTAAGGTGTCCATAATGTTTAAAAAAATTAAAAATATTCTTTGAAAAAAAAAAATGAGGTCACAAGTACATACTAGATTCTGCATATGCACTGTTAAAATGTCCGTCGTCTATAAAATCATATCACCTGTGTGATGTGTCATAAATATTTTTCGAAACATTTTTAACTTTACAATATACTAAATGGATCACGCTACGGCGCGTGAGGTGCAATTACTAAACCGTTACCGCATCAACATTTCGTTCGCATAAAACATTTGTCGATAGCCGTAATGCGCTTATGATGTACTGTAGCAAAATTAAATAATCAGTTCGAAATTGGCCAAATGGCGCGCCGTGAGCGCAGATAATTGCAGAATTACGATTCCCAGCCGGTAGGTGCGCGGTGACTCGCCCGACCGCCCTCTGAATATGCAAAGTGAGCAATGTCAAATATTGAACTGCCTTATTGTGCCCGAATGTACCTTCAAAATCTTCAGCATCGAACCTCTGAACTGTTTAGAACTATTATTATTAACAATAATTTATAATTCCTATAATTTTGCCGTTTCTCTAAATTAGATTCTCTATCAAAATCGATCAAAGATCGGTATAATTCCATAAAGTCTTCAAACTCTGGAAACGACTAAAGATAAAAAATAAATTTCAGAGTAATATAGTAAAATTAAATTACATCAATAGTTTTTTTGCATACCACAAACGAGGGGCGTTCAATGTATTTATTCTCGGTATCGAGGTGACACGAAATAAAAAGAAAAAAAATTTATTAAGATAAAAACCCCAACTTTTGGGAAAAAAAATTACCTGCGATTTAATCGATTTTGGTAATGTTATCAAAGATGAAAATTTAGATGTTATTCGTTCGTCGAAAAAAGCGTGAAAATTTAGATGTTATTATTGGATATACATATGTTATTATTATACAATATTCATTTTCTATTCATCTAATCTGACTTATATCATTTGAAACAATATTGGAAAGTAAAATAATCCTTAATGGTTAAATTTGAATTCATATTCGGGCCTCATAAAAATTTTCTCAGCCTCGCAAATGGTCACGTCGGCTCAGAATGTTATTACGTATTTTTTAAAGTCTTAGTTACAGTAAACGTTAAATAAATGAGTTAAATGTCAAAGAAATAAATACTCTTGAAATAAAATCTTAAAATATTAATGCAGAACGACACAAAACTAGTATGTAAGTAAATAATTTTAACTGCTTGTTACAAAACTTTGGAGCGTATAATAGTTAGAAGTAGTAATTAAGATTATGTATTATATTGGCAACAAAAACCATAAGATAGTTCTTGCACCTTCAATGAGTATTCTTTGTTAATCATTAACATAACATCTCCGATGCGGATTTAAATTATATTGACAACTGTATTGAAGTGTATGGCATATATGAATAGCGGCTGCGTGGCCCAACTGTAGTAGATAGGTACTGTTGCACGAATGGGCAGGTTCATCCGAGAAAGTATCACGGCTTCACTGAAGACCGCCGTGAAGTGGGAGTATTATACTTTTGCGATTCGTCTGGTGAGTGAGGTAGCTGATGACGACTTTTCATAAAATGGACATCTATAACACCGTAGGTGAGCAGCGGAAATCGCGTAACATCAGGTGAATCACCTGTGCACGCTTGACAACTTGTCACATAACTAAACTATTTTTTTTGCTATGGAATCGTATCTAGCAGAAAAATTGCACGGTGGTTGAGTTCCAACTATGAAATTACTAGCAAATAATTAATATGATTCTTCCGCGAACGATAATAAAACGAAATGATAGTTTGATAAGGATAATGTAGGCGAGGAAATTGAAGCAGTCCAGGCGGGGAAATTCGCCCAGTTTAACCGGTCGTCCGTGCAGCTTGATCGACGGCCGACAACAAAATGACGGGGCACGTCCACGGTCCACGAGGCGGCGGACGCGCGCCCCTCAACGCCACCGACCGCACGAATTCGCAATGAGAGCGCTCGCGACGAATGCCAAAGTCATGACTTACATAAAAATCACACGTTTATACGTGCACAATATGAGGCGGTGCTCCCGGGAATGCATCGCTGAATTTGTTTATCCTATGTAAAGGAAACCCGTCCCGTAGATGTTTATCGGATGCTTTCAGTGGTGTTTATTTCTAAATCTCGTTTTGATTTTCTTCTCGAATTTCCACAGATTCTATTTAAGAGAACTAGTGCCGTTTTCTTGAACGTAAAAGATGCACTTAGTATTGACTAAGCTAAATAGATTGTTGGCGCAAAAAGCTCACGTAAAAGAACGTGTATATATATGCATAGAGATTGATACCAAGATTTCTACGCATCTAAATAGTATCAAGCTTTATTGCTACTAGATTTTGGTTTCGAACCAAATTGATGATAATAATAACCTAATTATTGTTAACTGATGTCGAGAACGCTAACTTTTAACAGTTTTATTGAGTCGTAAGTCATGGGGTACCAAGAAAAAACAAGTCAAGAACGTCAAGGTAAATTCTTAATAGAGAAAATACTGACGCGACGTGAAATCAACCCCTGGGGAGCTGCAGGGAATTTTAAATAAAAATTCAAAGTGAAACGAAACTCAATAAAAGGCTAAACGTATAGCTAGCTATAACGTATAGCTAAGTCCTTTTAAGTCGAGAAATCGATGGATCCAGAAAGCGCAGAATCGTGCCATTCTGTGCTAGGCTGAAATGACGATAATGATGAAGTCTTTACAAAATAAGAAGCACACGAGTACCACATATTCTACCTAGTGTCTTTTATCGGTAAGTGATATAGGATGATAACAGTCAAACAATTAAGTTTTGTATTAATAGCTATTTTGAGTTAAATTGAAACAAGTATAAATAATAATAATTAAACAGATTTCTTTCCCTTTTGGTTTATAATGCTTCAGAAGACATTATTTATGTTTTTTTTTATATTCCGCACTCTTTGCAAATTTAAAAAGAGCAAAAATAAATCAGAAATACCAAACACAATGCATGTTAACTTGTGTTAGATCCGGCGTATTATGCATTGCACATAAATCGAATGCTCAAAAATATTATACGACGGAGTAATAAATTTTTGTCTCGTAAACGTGGGAAACACGATAGCGAACATGCACACCGCATACTTCCCAATAAACTGATAAAAAGCCAGCCGCGCGAACGGCAAGGCGGCGCGTCCCACGCCATGCGGCATTGTGCCCGAAATGACACGTGAAAAGCGTTAAGAGTGTCGCACTTCGCCTCCACAAAAGGCTTACAGATGCGCGCGCCAGAAGATTTTAATGAGGCAACGACTCTGTGTGATTTTATCGCGTGCGCCTTAATGAGAAATAACCAAGCGCATCCCCTTTGACTGCACTCGCACGCAGCTGCCATCAAAAATGCCACAAGTGACGTCGGCGCTCGACGATCATCCAACACTCGTATAGCGAAACTAGTACAGCCACGTTCCACACTCTATTACTGGCTCGGCTCTTGTGTTTATTTCACTTGAACAACACGAGATATTTTAAAATATGAAACTGACTGTACCTCAAATTTTGTTAACCGAGAGGGTTAAGCTTATAATCCAATGATGATATTGCAGGTATAATGGCTACGGTCTTACAGAAGCGACGAAACAAATTGGGCGGCATGAAAGTTACGGAAGCGTCGCTATACTAGCCAATTCTCATTAATGCAAATCACGTTGTCGACTCGTCAACCCAATTACCAAGAAGTGAATTTAAATAAAGATAAGTATCGCCCTCAAGGAGACAATGCTAATAGGAGGTGGAGGCGCGATAATAGGCCCGACTGGGGTACGCGGCGCACCGCGGTAGGTGCCTTAATTAGATCTCTCGACTTACGCGCCCGTGAGCATCAAAACACTTGTTCAATTAGCGATCAGTCTCTAGAAAATGTATTATGCAAACGCTGATTCGCTTAAGCGCATACATTCAACTGACGGTACACTTTATTGAAGTCTGCCTCGCTTTATTTCCCTGTCTGCGCACGGAATTCTTAGACCGTTTCTGTACATTGCGGGTTGCGATACAAAAATGAATTATAATTTTTATTCTAAGAGGAATTCGTGAAATAATTCGATAGGTTATCTACTATATCTAAACATGTTAGCTTTCAATTTTTTGGGGGGTGGGGGGAAGGGATTTTTTTTATCAGAGCATTACATGCATGGATTATAATTACATGTAACACCATAAAGAACATCCCCTGCAATAATTCCAACTACATCATTTGTAAAAACGAACAAGTCACTTCAATTTACGACGCCAACTCGCCACGGCAATTCCACGAAATGAAAACATTATTTAGGTGGTCACGTAAACGGGGCATGGATGAAATCTTTTCGAGCTTTTTAGGTTTTTTCCCTGGCATACACACGTACTTAAGAGTGAATGTAATGACTTATGTGTCGATTACGTTCTGTCGGAGGATTCATGAAAAACGGACAGACCCTCCTAATATAAATTATACCTTTTTCACATTGTTGTCTCGTATTTAAATACGCATTGACTTTATAAAAGTTTTATTTGTAGCACGTTATAATTATCGTTTCCAGTAAAGTGTTATGACAGTTTTCTATAAAATATTGAATATTAAAAAGTGTAGATAAAATTGGCAAGAAAATTTTTGACGCTGCCTGCACTCGAACCTGTGCTTTACGTATACTTAAGCTGTCTATATCCGCATCGCGCGTAAATTGTTATCTGTTGTGTTTTATTGCATTTCGAAATTATATCCTATCATTAAAACCAATAATGAGATAACTCCACGGTATACATACAATCAGTCTAATGCGTTAAGCACACATTAAACCACTCGAAGATACGTACATACGTATATGTATATGTTCGAATGTATTTGTTTCAAACAACTGCAGGATATTGAATGGGCGTTCAGACGATTGTTCGTAAGCAGGGTTGACAGGGTGTGGGGATGGGGGAGGGGTGGCACCCGGGGGCGCCTGTCAACATCTGCTTCCGCACTTCCGACTAACTGACCGCGACGTCCTGCGCCTATCACGGCTTCGAACAAGATTCTTACAACTTTACTACCTCCAAGAACATGGGTCAAATATTCAAGTTATTATATCGGGAATATCTTAAATTTATTTTATTTAATATTGAACTAAAATGTGAACGCGTTTATATGAATGGGATTGATTGGCATAGATCTTCCCCTTCTAACATCATTCTTTCGGCCATGTAAATTTCGTGTTTAATTTTAAACGGAATTTTATTAGAATGTTGCAGTTGTCTAAACTGCCATTTGACTCTTAATTGCCATTTGACTTTATTTTTCAAACAAAATATGTAATTTAAAACATAGGGTTAACTTTATATTTATAAATAATAAAATCGATTTTGAGATCTCATTTATTACTGTTTTATCCGATGTTCGCCTTTGGCCTTCGTGTCACCATGTTTCGGAAGCTGTTGTAAAACAAATAGGTAGGTATTATTCCCACAATCCGTCCACTGAAAGATAATACGATACTTTATTTCTATTTTCCGTATTCACTCAGGGTTTATGTATCTCGAATAGTCACGTTCGGTCCACGCGTAGGGTATGGCATACAAATAAGTGAAAGTCCGAACCGCCCAAACACCCGACGTCATGTTCTTTATCTACGGATATCTTAAAAGAATTTGACCGTATATGAGAATATTACAGGCAACATCTGTTCCAAGGGACGAATAAACTTAAACGTTGGCCTTTATGGCCCGGCTTCCGTTAACTAAATCACATGAAACAAAACACTTCTTTTATTTTCTGCTAAACAATATTCACGTACTAGCGTAAGTTAGCCGAATGTTTAAACCACTGGTCTCCTTGCTAGAAGTAATTCAAAAATATATAATTTCATATAAAATAAATATTTAATTTATTGTCACCTTACGATTATTTTTATTCAGCATACCTGTCGGTAGTAAAGTAAAGTAGCAACGTATATACATATATGGGATATCGCACTGCTGGACTAAGATAGATAGAGAGAGACTCCAATATAGATAGGGTATTAGGGCATAGTCCACTAGGCGACCCTACCGCGGGTAGGCGGACTACACACAGCTTTGAAAGATTTATGTCATTAATTCGATAATGTGCTGCTTTCCTCACATTCCCTTCGTCGCTGAGCACGAGATAAGTCAGCACTTAAAATAGCAACTAACAACTTCACCGGCGGCCCGCACCAGGACTCGATCTCTGGTCGCTTGAGTATATTTAATTACTAGCGCGCGACTACGTCTGCGTAGAATAGGCTGAAGGCGTAACATACAGACAGAATACAATAAAGACGATATTCATAAAATATGTATGTACATTATAGCCTATGTGTTACTCTGTCGTATAAGCTATGTTATTGTAAAGTTTCATTAGAATCCATTCAGTAATATTTGCGTGAAAGAGTAACAAACATACATACAAACTTTCGCGTTTATAATATTAATAAGGACAAGCGCGCGTCCGGACACAGCGATTGCACGGGACGCCGGTAGTGAAAGGGCAAAACCTAACTATCTAAATAAAGTAAAAACAACCTTTATTGAACAAGAACCTTGGGCATTTGCACGGCTGTAACATTCCTGTGGACCTTCATTAGCTATTTAGCGACCCCACTTCGACAGTCTCGCGCCAATAGGAATTTAATTCGACGTTTCTACGTAATACAATTTCGTACAAAGTGTTTCTGTGGATACGTGAAAAGATTCCACTATTATGTCGATCCATATAATAAAGTGATTATATAATGTGTAGTAGTTAATGTAAGTAATTAGTTACTTTTAATCAAAAGTATTTAAAAGTTGATCATTTAACTTAATACCCACTAAATATTTGTATAAAGTGTTAAAAATAATTGTTTTAATTGTTAATAATTGAATAGAGTTTACTAATTCTATGAAATCTACTCAATAATTCGTAGGGGGAAAAAAACATCAATGAAACAGGCTGTTTTTGAATTGTCTCAAGTAGTTTCCTTCGTCTTCTACGAGAAAAAATCAACTTTTGGAATAAAAAAAACGAATTTTATCGCGTTTAACCTTGACATTTATTCGTGCAGCTTAGAACACTTTAAAGCCATTACCATGGTGTCATGTCCTACGCCCACGGTCTCTGGGAATAAAAACCAAAATAAATCCTTTTTAAATCCGTGGAATAGTTTGATGTGACAATATCTGTTCTTCGTGCAAACACAAATCGTTCGATTGCAAAATTAACGGTGACAGAGTTCTAATTGCGAAGTGTCCATAACGAAGCCGGATCGGTGTCGCCACCGTCGAACGGGACGGCACTATTTATCAACGACACGTCATTGCAATGATAACGATGTGCCCGTGGAGCCACAATCAATTTGGCGCCGCGGACGGCTGTCAATTTGCGGCGGGTCGGATCGCGCCTGATGACTTCCGAGTGACCGGCTCCGATTTGCATAAGGGCCCCGCTTGATTATCGGATTATTCCCGAATTAACTTGCCGCCGCGCGACCCGACACGTTATTAGTTTACCACTGTATAATGTTTCGGAGTAATTTCTGGAATAAAAATTGGGTGCGCGCAATCTACATTTTATGTGTATCATCCCCCATATACGCAGGTATAACAATTAAAGGCACGGTCTCAGTGCCGCAGTTGCTAAGCTATATGCTTCTGTCGTATGTTCGAAGTGTGATCCACACATAAATAAATGTACCGGATTTTGGTGTTTATTCTCAAGGATGATTTGCTTCAGGCAGGCGGCTGGTTGTAAAAAACCTAACCGATATCTTTAACAACATGGTTGACAAGTCGTTCCTAACACACCTTAGCTGGGATAAAGGCAGGGAAATCAACTTAACAATGTGTGTAACGGTGCAAAAACTAACATTGCCTATAGCCAAGTAAGTCCCTATCGACGAGTACTGTTTTACCTTGCCTCCTTGTATAGGTAAAATTGATTTATGTTGTTTTTAAAAAAACTGTCTGCTGTTGAAAATACTACTAGTAATATATGATAGTGTTTTCACTGTATCTGCTTATTTATACCTATCTGTAATATGTATTTATTTTATAGACGACCCGAATGGCGTAGTGAGTAGTGTACCTGCCTCCTGTGTCAGGGGGTGTGGTTTCGATCCCTCTACTGGAAGAATATCGTGTGATGAACATAGTGTTTTTCCAGTGTCTGGGTGTATATACAGCGTGTCGTTACCATCGCGACAATAAATGAACACACGTCTAACACTACTTACCAATAATCAAAAAAAAATATTAACGTTAAACAAAATCCATAATTAAAAAAAAATACTTTTACAAACTAATTAAGTAAAAAATAAATTAAATTTGTAACACCCTGTACAACTCGCGCCACAGCGTCGCATTTATTTATTTATTTATTTCTTTTAAATTAATTCAACCCATTCATATGCTTTGTGACCTTTACAAATGAACTTTACGTTACAGTTTTATACGTAAGGGTGTTCTAAAATTGTTTGTTTTGGAAAAGTTAATAACTCGGTAAATTACTAGCGACCCGCCACGGCTTCGCACGGGTGCAATATAAACCTTCCTCTTGAATCACTTTATCTATTAGTGAAAACCGCATTAAGAACCGTTGCGTAGTTTTAAAGATATAAGCATACATAGGGGCAGACAGACTGCGGGACGACTTTGTTTTATACTATGTAGTGATTTCTCAAAGGTGTTTATATTTCTAACGCTGTAACTTTCATAATCTCTCATCAAATCTTATAATTCAGACACCACTTTAAAGCTTGTGTTTGCCTCTATTGACGAAAAAAACGCAAGTCGAATAAACATAATTTAAAAATTCATATAAAGAATGTATGATGATGCCAACTAAAGACAATTGGTTTCAATGAAAGATATTGAAGTAATTGATGTTAATAATTAATAGAGATTAATAGAATAAAAGATAAACGTCATTCTTCAAAATAAGATATCTTTCATTGATCAATATTTATTTACACAATATTGCCACGCGGTGACTGATCACAATTCAGTGCGCAAATATCGCACGGGTCAACTAGTCACCTTTATTTGTTACGCAGGCACGTAAAAGTAAAAGCGCGGGCGGGACACAAACAGAGCCAATTCGGCAAGTCGAAGACGAACCTATTTAAAATGGGCAGAGTGGAACAGCAGTCATCTATCTTCATGCTTGATAAACGGCGACATTATTTCTTATCGCCCACTCAATTTGTTTAAAAGCGTTCTGCTTTGATAATTTGAAAATTACAAATCGTATCTCCTGACACGAAAATGTCCTTATAATAGCGAAATCTCGCCAGCCACTAGATAAGGCGGAGGGGTGGAGAGATTGCCTCGATTTATCTAAATTTAATATCTTTCATTCTTCTTCGTCGCGAAAAAAATGTTTTGATAATATGTAAATTGTCGATAGCATCGATAGCGCTGAATGTATTTCTCTTTATTCTACAGTCATGGAGGAGCCCGAGTTCACTGACGTTATACAAAACGTGACGGTGCCCGCCGGTAGGAGCGTGCGTCTGGCTTGCTCCGTTAAAAATCTCGGATCTTATAAGGTAGGTACCTACACTTTATGCTTCTTACTATGCTCATATCGATTTTAAATGCACGAGTCGTGATTAAGCAGCATTTAAAGCATATACCTACATACATTTATAATTAAAATGAAATTATGAATTATTACTTTGAGTGTAAAATAAATACTTCTACAAACGTTGGCCATCTATAGCTATATTACAATTTAATATAACTATAAAAAAATTAATATAGACTTTACTTTATATCATATTTATTCAAAACTAAATCAGTTATTTAATACAATTTAGAAAAACAATGTGTAGGAAAAATTTAATAAAGTGCAAACGAAATTTCAAGAAGACATGCTACTTTTTCCAAGATACCATTGCTGCATGCTGTCAAAACACTTTAAACGTAACGGTAAAATAAGAAACATTTCATCATTTGATTTAGGACGCGCCGCGCCGTCGTAATAAACTGTCCATATAAATGGTAGCAGATATGATTTACAATCTGCACGCTGCGTTTGCACCTCGCTCTGGTTGTCGAGACGACTTAAAAGTAAGTGTTATTGCAGAAAGATGAAACGAAATTTTCACAAAAAGTAATTGATTATTCCCTTACTAACTATATGATTTTAAAACTAACATACGGTAGCGTAAAAAAATAACTACTTACTTACTTACTTTTTAAGTATTCACTTTCGCAAAAAGTCTTTTTATAAGTCTGCTTAAATTTTCATCATTGTTTCCGAATTAAAACCAAAATGGAGAATGGAGAATGAATGGGAATGGATGTCTAGGTTACAACATTTTACGTTAAAACTAACGAACTAACTTTCAATATACAAAACGAAGAGAACGATTACTTTTCTTTACTCGTGGCTTTGCAGCAGATCATAGTTTTTCCAAAACCGTATCATACTTGAAGTCGCATCGCCAATAAATTCCTTAGCAAAACATTCGACAGAGCCATTCGAGGCTGACAATACCAATCCGGTAAGCGTACTCTAGCGCATTTTAATGTGACGGCTGCAACGAACTTGGGTGTTCGGCGGTTTCGTACCGTGGAGCGGCGTCGACAGGCAGCGCACCCGGGCCTGATAAGCCGCAAGGTTACGACCGCGACCAAGCGGACCACTCACCCCCACCGACCCCCCACTGAGTCAGACCACCCTGGGACCTTTACCCGTTTCGCTGCTACCGCTGCTCTGCAACGTTGATTAGCTTCGACTTTCGCATTGAATTATTTACGTATCCCCTCTAACTTAAAACGGTGGGGAAAGATGAAATTAATTTACATTTTTGATATAAGAAAAAAATTGATTCAGTACACATTTAATACAAACTGATGCCAATGATATTAATATCGAAGGCATTTTTTAATCACGGTGAATCATACTTTTATACTTTTAAGATTCAAACATTGATTTAATGATTTTTGAATAATACATAATCAAAAATTCTCGTTAAATGATTTTTTTTCTTTAACAAAAAGCGGAAAAGTTCTATAATGTTCTTACGACAAAGCTAGGGAAATTAGTCCATATCAATAATTCAAATTGGTTGGTATTATACTAATGTATAATCCGGTAATCCGTCTTGCTACCCTTATCTCACCCAGGTAGTAGGGTCGTCACAACATGTCATTCATGGAATGAGCTAGGTTTTTTCGACCGGTCGCCTAGCTCATGTAAAGCCTTCTTATGAACATAATTATAGCCAGATAAGGAACATTTTACTCTAGGTCAAATTATAAAAAGGTTTTAACTGAAGTAGGGCCACGCGACAGTCTTCGCTATGGCATGAATGGGCAAGTCCGTCCGGATAAGTACCACGACGTCGCAGAAGACCGGCGTGAAGTAGAAGTGTTACATTTCTGCTTTTCATCTCGTGAGTGAGGTATCCGGGGCCCACTTTGTTAAAAGGTTGCAACGCATTTGAAACCTTACGGGTGTTGCAAACGTCCATGGGCGGCGGTTACTTAACACCAGCATCATGAACCGCACCGCACATGCTCGCTAGCCACCTTCTCACATAAAAAAAATACTAGCCCCGTGTGGCATCCGAACCCTAATCTTTCTTAAAAGGCCGCTACTGCATTTACAAGCCCTCCGGTGTTGCAGTTGTTCATGGGCGTTGGTGATCACTTTCCATCAGGTGAGCCTCCTGCCCGTTTGCCCCCTTTTTTCTATAAAAAAGCACCCATGACCCCAGGCCGATCGTTGAGATTTGTAATTCAATCATTATGTTGTAAAATTCCAATCTTTTATATCTTTAAGCCTATTAAATAAAGAGAGATTGTAAGTGTTATACACGTATCATCGAGCTTGTTAGACGACACAGATCGACAAACGTGACTTGGTCGTATCAATGGTGCAAATTGTATCGTATTCGTCCAGTTATCGTAACATGCGTGTTATTTTTTTTCATTGAGTTTGAAAATCATCATATAACTTTAACATTACTTAAAAAAAACTGTACTCATATTCTTGTTAACAAATTTCTTTTTAATTTTCTTCCATAACTACTTCTGTTTTTGTAAACTTATTATAAGGCCGCGTCTGTGCCGATATCTGTAATACGGGCGCAATAAAAGCCGAGATAGTGTTCTTCTACTTCTAAAATAAAGGCTTAACTGTGGAAGCCATCACGGTTGCCCTGTATTGACAACAAGAAGCGGATTTTCCCGAAAGCCTCGCCTGCGCCATTAGTTTTCCGCCTCGGTTAAAAAGATTTGCCTCTTCGTCCGTCTTTTTAGAATTATTGAGTCACGTGAAATATTGCGATGAAACGACAAAACACGCTTTCCGTTTCCATTTTGCTTTTACTATTATTACAGAACAGGAAAATAATCTGTTTTGTATTTATTATGCATATTGTTATTATTTATTTTTCTTCACACTACCATATTTACGTACATATTATGATTATGTGCGCTTTTAAATGGTTTTTTATACATGATTATACGTAAGATAATTTGTCTTCAATCTATATTTATTCTTAACGTCGTACCCTGATCCGTATCATGTAACCATTATCTAGGTAGATTTTTATTCCGTAGTTTCAACGGAAACTAAAAAAAGCACCGTGAAGAATAGCCGAGTATGGCTAGTATAAAAAAATATCTTTTATACATAGAATTATTTTAAGGAATTTCAGAATTTGGTCTGAACAACGAAGAAAACTTTAAAAAATGACGGCGATTTAAAACATTGTTGTTAAATCGCCGTCATTTAGAATATTAAACGGAATAAAATGCTTAGAACCATATTATAATATTATTTAACACTATATTCGTGTCGCGTTACCTACCGAAACGTACTCTCAACATTATCCTATATGACTACTAGTATAATACTCAACAGTCTACGGATGCAAAGAGAAAACATTTTCATTAATAGGGTTCCCTAAAAAACGCGCCAAAATTCGCGTCCACAGTCTGTTCATTGGCATGAAATGTCATACAGCCGGGAATGTCGCGTACGTACGGGTTCGCAATAACATGCCGCAACGAGCCGTCGCTATGTTACGCCGGCTGTTCACATTTCTAGAAAATTCTGCTGCCCCAATATCATCTGGCTTACGTTTACATCTTCTATTAACATTCATTTCTATAATATTTATTGTATATATTTTTCATAATATTTACAGTCGCAATCAAAATAGGTTTTAAAAACATGATTAAAACTTCAGTTTTCATTTAGTTGTATTCGATTAAAAAGACAAAGCAAATTTATTATTTAGAAGCTAGCAATTAAGTGATATTGTATAATATAAATGTTTTAAATAGTTTGCTGCAACTGTATGTAATCCACATTATTCTACACTACAGTCTAGCTTTATTACGAGGATGAAGTACAAATTGGGTGCTGCATTTTCTTTCAAAATAACTTTACTGGAAAGGCGAAGAAAGCTCAAATGATTCTTTTTAGAATATTTGACAATGTGACTAAATTATCTCGTTTCAACTATTTGGTTTAAATGAATCACTTCTTATATAAACGATTTGTTTTGTATGCTTATAGGTAATTTTACTAAAGAGGTTTGTCGTAATTATTACTAAATTATCAATTAGAAGAATAATAAATATATTTTTGGAGATAGTTTAAAAACATGTTTGGCCGCAATCACAATGAAAATATTCTTATACATAGATGTATAATAATACCAAACTTATACATTAAGGGTTACCTAAGTGTAAGTTTTAATTTGTATTCCCTCATCCATACCAAACCTCCGTTCGTATTAAATTTTTATAAGGAAATACAAAATAGTAATGATAAAATTGTACATTTAAGATTTAAAGTTATCACCTAGTGGTGAAAACTTTTAATTTTTATCTTAAATTTATTACGTCTTATCACATGCGTTCTTTTTGTTTAATAAATAAAAAATCTAACCAAATTCAATAATGTTTAAGAATTGTTTTTCTTATTATAATAAAAAATAAAAGATTTAATAACGATTTCTTGAGTAACATTATTATAAAAAAGAAAACTTGAAGCTTTTACACCAATACATATACCATTGTTTCGAAATACTACTCAAACACGATCAATCGTCGGACATACATCACCATCCACGTAAATCAATAAGTAATATTGGCCCAACATTTGCTCAAAAGGGCCCCCGGTACAAATCCGCACCAAAGAGAGCTCTAAGTGGGCTTTTAGTGGAAATAAGCTAAGCCGCCCCGTACAAGATGTTACTCATTTATGTCTGCGCCATTGCATTACTTAGGGACTCGTCTGCCTCCTTCACTCGTTGCAGGATCTATATTGTTACGCGAACACTTGTACAGCAGGCATTGTAAACTGAAATAGACTTTATATTTCTTAGTCGATTTATATAACACTAAATAATTAATTTCCAAAAAAAATCTTATCTTTTCTTTGAAACATTGTGATTTTTATTACGAAGTGGTTTTGATTCTGAGTAAAAAAGTAAAAACCAACGTATGTGTCCAAATAAAGCGTGTAATACATAGTTTAAATGATAATTTCTGTGATTATGTCGAGAGAAAGAAAAATATTACAGAGAGAAAAATATTTTCTGAAAAAAAAAACCTGGATTTGCTTAATCTTTATCCCTATCGTGTTGCCTTACTGTGAAATAAATCCCATAATTGGAATAAAAAATTACATGGGGCATATATTCTTCTATATTTTTAATTAACAAACTCTGTGCTTAGACGTTATATATATGTATGAAATTTACATTTAAAATCAATATACATATATCACAAGACATGAACAATAAATTTTATTAAGTCAACACGGGAACAAATGGAAGAGGTCTGTGAAAATACTTTACGACGTCTCTCTCCACAGATGATTCAAAGATACAGACGAATGATATTACTAGCCAAAAATGTAATAAACAACTTGTTTGTGAACATGTTTTTGCACTTCGAAGCATTCTAGCAATCTTGCGAAAATATCTTATGTTACACCGCGGGACTTATTGTAAGAATTTTTTTATATATTTCATATGTACATATGTATGTACAGAAATATTAACTATCTACACACTACAATTTTTTTTTTAAATTAAAGGTAAGCAGAATAACGGCCAAGCTTTTTAGGAAATTGTTATAAAAACTATTCATATATAACAATACAAAAACGATGTTTTTAACAATGAATTAATTCATTTACTTTAGTTTTTACTAAGTAAATAATATAGAATAAGAATAGTTGTCTCTAGTATTTTTATCTATACTATTGCCTTGTTTAATGTCCTTACACTTTTGTTATCTGTCTTGAACATAGAAAATGGAGGTTAACTTCGAATAAGCGAAGTAAAGATAATAGAGTAAGTTGCGACGCCTTAAACGTTCCATAATTAAATCTGTCGTAATATTATTAAACACGTCTAGGAATCATCTCCTGCGGCGATGGGGTCCGTCGTTAAAGAGGTTCGGTGCGGTTCGCGGTAGAATGGCTAAAGTTTGCAACGAGTCCATTATAAATCAAACGACGCCTCCGAGGCATGTCCTGAGGGACGAGAGCGTCTCATGCCGTGCTTCAAAGTTCGAATTCGCCTCCTTAATGCCCCAACAATTAAGATAAAAAGAAAGGAGGGCCTAAATTAAAGGTGATTATAAGATAAAGAGTTGTAAGGCACCTATAGAACTTCAACACTAAAACGTTTTTACACACGTTTAGTTTTTTTTTTTGCACTATGGTTCGTAAAGACAAACAAAAATCGCAAAATAGACAAACTATGTCTGACGTCAATAAACTTATACAATTTTTTTTACTCATCTATAATTGCACCGTAATTCGTTCAAAATCAAAATCAAAAATATATTTATCCAAATAGACGCTTGCGCGCTCTTATGAATCGTCAAATTTTACATCAAAGATTATGTGTATAGGTTCGTAAGGTACCACCGATTCGGAAAGCGGCTTCTGTTGAGAAGGGACCGGCAAGAAACTCAACAGTTGCTCTTTTTCAAAAATATCAGGGTACAATATAATATACAGGTATAATAGTCTTATTCTAGCCTACGTGAGTATCAACAGTATTAACTCCACACATTGGCGTCGTCGAGATATTCCGAAATGGTATAATATGCTTTAATCATCAGTTGATTTTTAATTTTACATTTAAATTGGTCAAGCGGCAGACTTAATATCGACTGTGGGATTTTATTATACATGCGCACACTTTGCCCCATGAACGACTTATTTACTTTTTGTAGACGAAACAATGGCGTAGTAAGTTTGTCCTTATTTCTAGTGTTTATTTTATGTCTGTCACTATTCTTTAGGTAATAATTAAGGTTATGACGTATATACAAAACATTACAATAAATGTATTGACAAGCAACAGTGAGTATATTAACCTCTTTGAAAAGATCTCTGAGTGAATTCCGGGCTCCGATATTGTAGATTGCTCGGACAGCTTTTTTTTTGCTCATCGTGAAAGATTTTGTTCACATTAAAATGAACTAAAAATTGATTTAATATTAGCTTTTCAAAAACTTTACTAAGAGATGGCAATATGGAAATAGGTCTATAGTTGCCTGGATCATTTTTATTACCACTTTTGTAGACAGGTATTATCTTACTAAATTTCATAAGATCTGGAAATATTCCAGAATCTATGCAGTTGTTAAAAATAGAAGGCAAATGTGGTGCAATATATGGCATTATTGTGCTCATTAATTTTATGGACATACCCCATAAATCCTCTGTATTTTTAAGATTAATAGAATTCAAAACTTTTATATCATAAGTATCTACGTGATTAAATTTAAATGTGTGTAGGCAAGGGGTAACATTATTTCTTAAAACATTAATTGCGTCTGCGGGAGATGATTTTAATGTACGTGTGACATTAACCGCAATGTCTGAAAAATAGCTTTCAAAACTACTCGCAATTTCGTTATCTGATATTATGGGAGTATTACCTATAACTAGTTTTATAGGTTCCCTGAATATCTTGGTTCTTCCAGATATACGGGTAATGATGTCCCATGTGGCTTTAGTTCTATTGTTTGAATTTATTATGCTATTTCTTATATAAATAGATTTTGCCTGAATACAGACTTTTTTAAATATTTTTGAAAATGTTTGTACCCGTTTAAGGAAGTTAGGATCGTGATTCCACTGCCTCATACTATATAATTCATACAATGAATCCCTACTTTTGTATATACCCACTGTTGCCCAGTCACTAAATTTTAATTTTGAATTCTTAACAATTGTGCGCGATTTAAAAGTATCATTATAAGAAGATATGAGAAAGTCAACCATTGATCTATAAGAGTCATTAGGGTTATTGACTCCTATATCTTTATTTAACAAATGATGTGCTACTTTATCTCTAAAAGCATTTATTCTATTAGTAGTGACTGGTCTACACTTGATCTTAAGTTTGCTTGTATTAGCTTTTTCATTTATTGAAAATTTTAGCCCAAAGTGATCCGAGCTCAGATGATTTATAACATATTTATCATATCATCACTGTGACAGAATACATTATCTATACATGAGGAGGATAAGTTAGTAACACGAGTTGGTTCATGAAAAAGATTTTTAAGTTCAAATGAGTTAAATAAATTTAAAAGTCGTTTACTGGGTTGTGTTACTTGTAATAAATCCACATTAAAATCTCCACAAACTATTAATGATTTACTACTTGAACATAGTTTTTTAAGAACATCATCCATTACACACTCAAACTGATCGAAATCACCTGAGGGGGGCCGGTATACGCATACTATAATATACTGTCGACTCTCAACGCAAGATAATTCAATAGAACGTTCGACAGAGTGTGCCACTATATCCTGTCGATTTTTACAGACTATATCAGTTCTAACTAATACAAGAGAGCCACCGCGAATAGCATTTACTCTTACGAACGAACTTAACAATTTATAATTTTCTATATTAACAATATTACAGTGCTTATGTAACCATGTCTCTGTGAAGCAGATGACATGTATATTAAATTTCCTAAGGAACAATTCAATTTCGGGTTCTTTGCCACCTAAGCCTTGTATATTTTGATGCACAATATTTAATTTGAGTGGCCTAGGCGTTGTCTCAATGTTTAGTTTGAAAAAGTCTATAAGCATTTGAGAATTACATTCCACCAGCTCAGTATAAAGATTTTGGGTTTGTTTTGCACTGCAAGATGTATTAATTTGTTCCAATTCGAGGATGGAGTTATTTGCCTCTTTTAAATTAATTTCAAGTTCCGTTATTTTATTTAGTGCCCTTTCATGCTCATTGCTGCACTGATTGAATGCACTCACAATGTCTCTTAACTCATCCCGCTGTGCCACTATGTCCATATAACTTTTATGAAGTTCAGCGAGTTCACATTTTAATTCAGTATTTTTTTTAATAATGACCTGAATTTCCTCCTCGCTTTATTCACACTCTTGCATCAGCTGTTTGCAAAGGTCTTGAGAAGTTTTCAGTTCTTGTAATGTATTTCTTAATTTATATTCAAGATCCTTAGCAGCAGCTTTGCATTACTTTGGGTGAGCATTACTTTCTCCATTGCTAATATTCTGTAAGATTAACAGAGAGGAATCTGAGATTATGAGGATGGGGAGAAAATTAAGTAAGAAAATAATAAGAGAAGATGTAAGCTTTAATAATTAGATTATAAAAAAGAGATACAAGAGAAAGTTAGCAAAATTTAGCAAGGAGATTAAATATTTATTTAATTATTACAAAATAACTGTTTTAAGATGAATGTTCAGCTATTACTTATTATAATTTGTATTATATTTAAGAAATATTGCTGTTTCTAAATAATTTATGAAATATTAAACTACCCTAAGAGTACTAATGTTTATAAAGTTATTAATGTGAATGTTATAATTAAGTTTTGGTTTTATATATGTTAAATCTGTAGAAGTATTTGTGTGAAGTCAGTTTGAGTAAGGATGTCTGTGGCAAATGTTTTTATCATCAACTTTACTTCCAACTTGTCAAGCAAAGTGAGACAGTAACGGTGCCAAAATGTGTTGAAGTGACGTTACTCACTAGATGTGAGTTTTGTTTAGTAGTATGTAATGTTGTAGTTATATTTAGTATGATCCAAGAAGAAGGATATAATATAAGATACTCCCCGGGATTGAGTGGTAGAATTTTGAAAATTCGGCGGTTGGGCCAGTGACAGCTCCAAGTTGACTTCAGTTTTTACGACTCCTTCCGTAGTGCACTATATTATCACTTATTTTTCTTTATTATATACACCTAAGTAATTTACTACGATTTGGAAATAATTAAATAATATAATTTACTTAATTTAAACTTAAAATATACGGAGCTACAAATTTAACATGTTCACCAGGCCAGTGTTGCCAACGTCCCAGATCAATGCCAGAATAATAGATACTGCTCCAAATCGAAACCAGATATATATGGAAAATAACATCATAATTTCATGTTTAACATTAAAAATGTAGAAAAAGTACTACATCGGCATTTTCGAGAAAAGTAGCGTTACGGTGGTGCCATAACTCACTTAGGTTCCGCAGGCGAATGAAATTAGTTAGCTGCAGCCGCCATTTCAAATATCATATTTGCATCTGCCCGCTTCATTACCAACTTGGCGGGCTTAGAAATTACTTTTTATGAAATTCTCGCCTTTTAAGAGGCTAGTTTCCAGTCCTCTTAAATTTGAACAATTTTATATTTAATAAAAAGTTTAATAAGAACCAGTGATGCCCTGCACAAAGTTACGGGTAGGCGATGGATGCAGGTGGCTCAATACAGAGAGCAACAAAAAAATTAAGCTTAACATCGATGATCGATGACATTGTAATATTTTAAAAAACAAGACAAGTGGATTTTTTTTTTAAATATTTAGTACAAATCATAATATTTATTACAATTATAATTCACATGTTTTTTTTGTTCTAATTTGTTTCCTCATCAGAATTTAATCAAAGTAGCACAATTATACAATACATTCCGTCTGTAATTCGTTTGCATTCCACAATTCCACTCTTTAACTTGTGCATTTTATTATCCGAATTCCACCCAAACTTGGGACGTTACAAAATATTTCGTACCGACCCCACCGACCGCAAGATACGAAACTCTTGAACTTCAACACTCAAAGCTTATCTTTTGAGCAGTTGTAAATTTTGATTCCTTCACAATTTTATCTTAATTGTTCTAACGATTAATAAGAGTTATTCCATAGTATGTGCTTTAATGGCAATTCTGTCTTAATCCACACGTGAAATTCATGATGTTACATGGATTTAAAGTACATTCATTTTTATAGTGCTATTCTCTACACTAAAGATGAAGTTTAAAAAAATTAAAAAATGTTATAGAAAAATGGACGAAAGCTTTTCGCCGTTGTGATTTGAAGTCGCGATAACCAGTGTGCTAAACGGCTTATCTTCGCACTGAAAAAATCTCAACATATTTCATCTACTTTGTTTTATATACAGTTTTAAAAAATATTGTGCCCTTGTAAAGATCGAACGTAGAAGAAGACGCGCAACGACAGTTGCTCGGTGAACACTTAAACGGAATGGATCATTCATACTGCGGCATAAATTTTATTAAGCTTAATTTAAAGTGGATTAAATCAACTGTTGTTCCAATTGAAAGCACATAATAAATGAATTAGAATTAGTTCGGTTCGAGAATTTGTCAATTACGAAGTATTATCATTGTATAATTACCCAATTTGATTATCATTCCAAATATTGACCTAACGATAAGGCTATGTCGGGCCGTGCGGGCGCGGGATGGGTGCGGACGCGCTGTGAGACGCGGCGGCCGTGGAGCCCATAATTCAATCAGCGGCCACAGACGGACATAGCAGCCTGATTAGATTAAACGCGCCCACAATTACGCAGATCGGATTTACATCTGCCGCCGCTAGAGTAGAGTTGCGCGTTTTTTACACCAATAACAATTTATTAAATTGGTAAGCATCTACGATACCAAAAACATAAGAAAGCTTTACTTGGGTATTTCGCTTAAGCGCGCGTTCTTCGAATTTATTAAAACGAAACGAACTCTTCAGCTTTCAACTTTTGCTATTAACGGGAAAAAATATAATATAAACGGTTGCTTAATATCGGGAAGGCCCAGGTTACGCCGACAAGTCAGGTCGTCGTCATTAGAGGGGTTACCGTCCCGTTGCATAATAAAATGAGCGAAGTTTGCTCAAGTCCATTATAAATTAGACAGCGGCAGAGAACCGCATCACTTAAGATAGGTAAGATGTGACCCGGCACGAGTCAGCTAACAAACTTCCTTCTATATTGCCCCCGCAATCTTGATAAAAAGAACTACCCGTGATTCAAACTTATCGCTGGATTAAAAGATGAAGGATGTTCCCCAACTTTAAAAATTTTAAAAATTGGTCTTCTTTGCTTGCTTTATTCGCTCGCTTCGCCATAATAAACAGGCTAGACAGGTTCCTTTTATATTGTAACGACAAACATTTTATATTACACTACGGTTCATATGTCCGTAACATTTCAGAGATAAATGCGTCGCATTCGCTTCTCCGGCGAGAACTTGTAAGGAATCGTTTTATTAAATCGAATGTTTCCTCGCCGAGATTAAAAGAAACTGGATTGTTTCAACTGTAACAATCTTTGTGAAATGCATTTTAAGCGGTTAATGCCGTGGAAATTGGTGCAGAGAGAGGACGCGATGGCAGCTACTTGCAATTACGCAGATGTCGCTCTGAGCTTCGTACAACTGTCTAATGGCAACCCTAAACGTTTAATTTTGCCATGTGTTTATATAATTTCGTCCGTCCGACACGTATGCTATGATATAAAATCTTTGTATTCATAATTATGATAAAGCAATTTCAATCATGTTACCGAAGAGACATATTCATGTTAATTTTAATGTGTATAAACGATGAGTTGTTTCTAGTTTTGAATACCCAAATTTGCTTTGTTATAAATATTGCTTAATGTAGTACAATAGACAGAAACTTTGATGAAAAATATCGCAAACCAGAAAGGGGGCGACTTTTTAATTTCCGTTATGTCTGTCGTCAAGTTTAAAAGACGTTCGGAAATTATTTACGAAACAGGTTTTGTAGGCAGCTCGCAATTCCTTTTTTTATATTTAATTAATTTTTTCCGTAGTAATTTCATCCAATTAAACAATTTTAGTATATCAAAGAAAGTTATAGTGGATCGGCTCGTATTTCTATTAGCTTATCCATTACGACATTTAATAACCATGGCAAGTTTGTTAAATTTTTAAACATACATAATGTTTGTTAAAATCTCTTTAAATTTAAACTAAAAATCAATAATACTGAATCAATAACCTTACGTCGAAAATTGAACTAGCCGTGACACCGACGAAACCGTTATTACTAACCGATCGTTATATCAAAAAATGTGAAATTTATTTTCGGACCAGATAGTCTATTCAAGCAGGCTGTTTGTCGACCCTTCAACAGGTGGCGTGGATGCATTTCGAGCAATCGGCGATCCTGACCGTTCACAACCACGTGATAACGCGCAATCCGCGAGTGAGCGTCACCCACGACAAGCACCGGACCTGGTTCCTGCACATCTCGGACGTGCGCGAAGAAGACCGCGGTCGGTACATGTGTCAAATCAACACCGTCACAGCCAAGACACAGTTCGGGTATCTACACGTTGTTGGTAAGAAGAAAAGCTTGGTAGCGTATACTTTATACGACTGGCTCAAAATGGTTTGACGAGATCGGCTTCATTCATTACATCGTTAAATGAGTATGTATGTTTCTGTAGACGAACGTTGCAGGGTTGAAAACATTAATGTTGGCATTTTGTATATAAGTAATTTTGTGAATGTTAAAAAATTGCTACGTCTAAAAATATTTCTAAATTTGACGACCCGAATGGCGTAGTGGGTAGTGTACCTGTCTCTTGAGCCAGATGGTGTGAGTTCGATCCCCACTACTGGAAAAATATTGTGTGATGAGCATAGTGTTTTTCTAGTGTCTGGGTGTTACAAAAGAAAAGTACGTTTATCAGTGATCTAGTACCCATGGTACAAGCGTTGCTTAGTTTGGGACTACAGAACGTTGTGTCAAAATGTGTCCCAAAATATTTATTTTATTATTTATATATTTGTTGAGATAAGATGTTCCTGGAAGTCATTTGTTTCTTTTTATAGAATATCACATTTTATTTCCTCGTTAATTAACCTATTATATCTTTTATACTCTATATCTATAACGATTAAGATTCCAATGGTCAAGATATTACCTAATGTCCCAAAACCGATTAACCTTATCGGGTGATTAGAGATTCGGGGCGATTATAGTTTCGGAGTGGTTTGACGCTTTTATGGCATTAAAGCCTCACCATGCAAATTTCTTGAATACTACACTGCCTAAAGTTTGTTTATTTTGTCATGGAGTTTTACTATTTAAACCATGCAAATAAAATCACAGTGGCTTTGAAGTGAAGAAATGCGGTTCCAAAAGACTTATCCTCGATTACAGTGCCTCCTTCAATCGACGACTCGTTGAGCTCGAGCGACGTTATCGTTCGAGAGGGAGCCAACGTCACGTTGACGTGCCGTGCTAATGGCTCCCCTAAGCCGACCATCAAGTGGAAACGGGATGACAGCTCAAAAATCTCCATCAGCAAAGGCCATTCCGGTACGTCCTCATTTACGAATTACTATGTTCGAAATTTAAAACGACCGGCGTTACCAATTGCCTGCTTGTTGCAGTTTCTGAATGGGAAGGCGAAGTGCTGGAAATGGCCAGGATCTCCCGCTTGGATATGGGGGCGTACCTGTGCATCGCCAGCAATGGCGTACCACCCACTGTTTCCAAAAGGGTCAAAGTGAGCGTGGATTGTAAGTACATCGTTAGTGAGTCAAATGATATATAGTCGAAACAAATGCTTAATCAATCTCAACCAACTTCAAAAAAGGAGGAGGTCCTAAGTTCGTCTGCACTTTTTTACGTTTGTTACCTCAGAATTTACGACTGAGTGCGATTTTCATGATTCTTTTTTTATTTGAACGCTGGTTTTTTCCCATGTGGGCCCATATTGATTTCATTAGTATTGGATCTTGGGCTCCGGGGATACTTAGAGAACTCCTGAAAATCAATTATAAAATGAATACAGTGCGAGCGATTTGAAGTCGGTTTTGTTTTTCGTTAGTAAAAATATGGACTTGACTATTTCCAGTTCCACCTATGCTATGGATTCCACACCAACTCGTGGGTGCCCCGCTCTACTACAACGTGACTTTAGAATGTTTTACTGAAGCTCATCCAACTTCATTAAATTACTGGACTAGAGATGACGGGCATATGATACACGAAAGTCCGAAGTATCACATGGAGAACATAATCGGCATACCGGCGTACAAGACTCACATGAAACTGCTCATAAGACATATTGTGACGGAAGATTATGGAACGTACAAATGCGTTGCTAAGAACCCCCGAGGAGAGTCCGACGGAACAATCCGTTTGTACAGTGAGTAATCAAACATTATGAATATCATCATGCTGTTAGTTTAAAAGAATTGTATTTATCATAAACATAATATATTTACTGTTTAGCTTCTTCGCCACCAACAACTACACCTGATCCTCGGGCGGTGACAATGCCACCTCCTTCACGACCACCGCGTCGTGATACTCCGCTGACAGACAAAGGTTAGGAAATGAAAAATTTCAATTGAATTTATTATCATTTAAAATCAAAACTACTTTGGGATACACCCTTTTAATGTAAATCATTTTTTTGTAAGATAACTCTGAATTTAATAACTCTATCTTAAGTTTTAGGAAGATATCATTCTGTTTCACCCAAGTTAAGTAATTTCTGCAATAAAGCAAAAAATGTGTGCTGACACTACTGACGCAAATGTGTTCGTTCTGTGGACTATATTGGACGAATAAGGGATTAAAAATAAGATAGCGTTAACATTGTACGGAGAAAACACCTATAAATCATACAGTTAAATAAATTCAGTAATTCCTGCTGTTGCTTTCGATTAAATGTATCGGAGCAGGAGTTTAATGTCGGCGATTTCGTTTATTAAGAGATAATGTTACCTTTACGAGTTGTATCCCTCGAGATCGTTCAGTTTATTTTCATTGTTTGTTGCTGTTTCAGTTATTATTAGTGGTCGTTACATTTGTTTATTGATCGTAAACTATTACGGCTCCTTGTCGCCAGTAGGTTGTTAACTGGCTTCGAATGTTACGCTGATCGTAAAATGCAAACAAACCGTTCATAACGCGGCCGGTTTACGAAGTGGTTTGAACGATTACTCTATTTATACAAACTTGATAATAAAATAAAAATTCTTACATACGTCATTAAACGTTAACTGATATTTTTAAAGCTGAGTTATAAGATTGTGCATTAATTTCTTAGATAACTTAGCCCTTATGTGAACACTCACAATATCACACTGTGATAATTCATAAAGGTTGTCGACGAATCTCAAAGTTTTCTTCGATAGTTTGGACGTCCATGGGTGATGGTATTCACTTAACATCAGGTGAACCTCTTGCTCACCTGACAACTTTTTATATGAAAAGGAAAGACAAACCGACTGAATACTCACTAAAAGAATAATCGAAGACACGGTTTTAATAATGTACTTTGTACATATGTCATTTACCTAACAACTAACGAAACAAAGAAAGTAATCCGAGTAATTGCGAGAATAGCTCTTCCACAAGAGATAAAATTAATATTTACTATTCACACGCTTTAATATCGGGACTCACAAGTCACTTGTTATGCGTCATTAGCCCGCCGTTGTTGTGAAGTTGGGCGCCCGCCCTGACGCGTGCACGCCGGACAGCGACATCTTGCGCGACAACCTATTACAACGGAGCGTCAACTTCCGGCTTCCCGGCGTCGAACTTGTCCGGTTTTCTTTCCAAGTTTCCATTGTTCCGGTGTAAATCCCGCAAAAGTTTGCTAGGCACCTAGATTTGACGTTTAATTAATAATGTTCGCTCTCGCTATTTGTGAATGTTTTCTTATGTTAACGAAACCTTCGGTGGGGGACAACATTAATGATGCAACTAATGGTCGATTCCACCTTTTACTCGGAAAAACAAATGATATTTTGTTCTTGCCAGTTGAGTTTATTGCTTACAGAGAATTAGTAGTTAAAGTTTTTTTTTTCTGTGCGATGATGGCAAGCGGGTTTAAAAATGCATTGCTACCTTTTAATAAAGTGATATATATATATATATATCACTTTATTAAAAGGTAGCAATAGCCTCGGATACCACACTTACCAGACGAAACGCAGATGTATAACACTTCCGCCGGTCTTTTGTAAGATCGTACCTGGACGGACCTACCCATTCGTGCAACAGCGAAGACTGTTGCGTGGCCCTACCACATGGTCATGTATACTTAAAGTAAAATTAGTTATAAATTAATCGAAGAATTTTGGTTATTATTTAGAAACATTTGAAATATTTATGTAAATAAAAATAAATCCTTCTCTGGATTAAAGTGATTTGCGTATATATATTTAAAATATCATCTACTTTTTAAAGCTTTAATATCAGAAGTACCAGAGTCGCATAGCGCAAAGGAGTTCACTACGCCAGTGGACTAAATCGGAAAAATAGACGGTACAATAAAGTGAAGATAGCCAAGTTCCGCGGCAGTTTTTGCGCAGCGCGGCGAAAGCCCGCCGACGACATCGACCGTTGCCGCCGTTTTACTTTTTGCGTCCATTACGAATTTACGGTCAGCCAGGCCACTCGACAATATTGCGCGACTTTTCAATAACTGCCCGTCCCTCGCCATATTGAATCTCTTACCTAATGAGTTGTGGTAAACGATTCCCCATTGCTTTTTCCTTACTTTAGAAACTGAGCATAAAATTTATTTATTAATTTATTATTAACGTTTTAATGGCCGCTCTTAGATTTTTATTTTTTTATTTTTACAGTTACAATAAACCATTGCAATGCAATTCATAAAATGATTACCAAAGCGTGTTAATGCAATCGTCCTTGTATACGTATCTTGTTTTCTCTTCGTAAGCTCTCGCACTTAAACAATATATATTTATTTTAGGAAACAAGTACCAGTCAAACCTTAACGAGATTGACAGACGTGAATCGGGAAAGCAGAAAACAGATGAGGGAGGTGGAAAAACACATCTTAACTGGGTGGGCGGAGCATCTCAAGTCACAGGTATAATATAATATAAATCATGTAATAAAGTATAATATCTTTATTTTTGATTTTTGGCCTTTACTAATTTTAAAATCAAAAACATTTTATGATCCTGTCACATTTTACAAACCTATTATTTGCCCTTATTGATTATTTTTTTACAAGATTTTTTTTACAAAATCGGGCTGCTTTACACGTTTACAATGTTTAATGCATCGCAATTGACCCTTGAAGTCTTACGATTCCGTTACAAATATGTTATTTTACAGGTGCCGGATACCGAAGCAGGGGCTACGTGTGGATATGGTTCACATGTTATTTTATTTTTTTATTTTTCATTTAATTATTTCTTCTTAACGTTGGAGCAACAAAGTAACTTGCATTAAATTAAAAACCAATTTCCAACCACTCAAATTAATAACAAATACAAATCAAAAAATACATATACCTACGAAAAAACAGAATATAAAACCAGTGGAATAAAAAACATTTTTATGTTGCTTCAAACTAAGCATTGAATGTGTAGTTAGTGTCAAAATGATATCTGTGCTTTCTAACGTGGAACTATGTCACTGTTATAATGAGATACTTGCCTATAAATATTTAGTTCAAAACAGTCGTTACAATGAATTTCTTTCAAATTTCCTTTACAACAAATTGTATTTGAAAACAGGTATTTAGATCGTACTTAGTAATAAAAATAGCACTAAGGATAATCATCTAATAATACACCCTGTTAATAATAATAACTTTTTTGTTTCAAATAGCAATAAATCTAAAAATATTCATAAATATTGTTGATAGAATGTTAATTGCAATGTTTACCAGTTCCTTTAATATTGAAACATCGTGGTTTAGCAGATTTAAAAGCATCTCTCAAATAGTTGTTTGCGTAATACTTCTGTTTATTTTTTAAATCTGCTGATCCATGATTATTTAATTTTGATAATCGCACATGCATTAAACTAATAATAAGTGCACAGAAAATGTAACGATTAGTTGAATACATAGCGTAAGACTGAAAAAAATTATATCTTTTCAAGAACTTATTTTACGAGCTTCCTGAGCAATCATCTTTGCTGTGATAAATGATTTGAGTAGCAACACTTTAAAACCGTATGTATAGTTTTAATGTACCAGCCACAATATTAACTAGATTATAATCGAGTCAAAATTCAGAATATGTTATTTAACAGCTAACACAAAAAATTTAAAGAATACATTTTGTAATATCTATGTACCTTAAAAAGAATAGTAAAATCAAATTTCGATTTTTATCACGTGCCAATATTTTTATGGAATTGATTTTTAAAGTGTTGGTATATCAAGTTGTTCTAGGTTTGCCTTATCCTCTGTAGGCACTATTATAAGTTGCCCGGAAATACACAACTTTTTAAAATAAACAAATGTGAAATCAAATGACATCACTTATTAAAGAGACAGATCAGTCTGGAATTATTTATTATTGAACCCACATCGATTAAATTTCTACAAAAATTACTTTGCATTAATATTTTTTTTACAATTGAACACCAAGTTTCTTCTGTCAATTAGTCTTTTATATTAATGTATGTTACACTTAACTTGTTGCCAAAACGCTAAATATAAGGTAAATGCAGCATAGTTAAATCAATGTAAATATATTTTTTAAGCCAAAATAATGACGTGTGTTTTAATAACAGAGTGTATTGACTGTTTAAAATGTGCATTGTACGAGATATTAATATTTGTAAGCCATCTTACGTAACTATACGTAATAATATTGTGAATGAATAGGTTATAAGCAGAATAAAGCTTGTTTTAAATCATTATTTTAATTACACCACCAATATAAAATTACTGATCCTCTTTTCAGGTTTTCAACAATTGAGAATAGCATTTATTCATTTAAAGCTGTTTTAACAGTTGTTTACTCGTATCAACTAAATATACGTCCCCTTGATGTGAAGTGCAAAGAATAGAAGCCAGATTTGCTACCAAAAAAAATTATATTTGAATATTAAAAAGTGAGACATTGTATTTATTTAATGTTTGTAACATTAATTTTAAAATTTCGCTTTGGCCTATTCTACAAACATAATTTATGCGGGCAAAGTTTTCATCCGTCATATTTTGATGGACTTAAATGCTTGCAAACAATATGCGGTGGATCTTTGAAGATTAGGGCTGGCTTTTGGGGCGCCGAAGAGGCTCCAACTATGTATGGACGCCCGCCAACTCCCGTAAGCCAATCTAACTTCTTTTAAATGTGTTTTTGATGTAAAGAACACATTACGGTACGCATCGCTTGCCGCAAATCTCGAACAAAATTAGCTTTTGATTTATTGGGCCTTAACTTTATGAATTTGTATAAAGAATATTCCTTATTTTTTTTTTAAGAATACAGTACTACGCAAAATAAGGGTGAATCGCAATGGTAGTAATATGTGCGGTTTATTTCATAATAACAAAATAAAAACGCGGATAAAAGTAATTTCTTAGGATGCCTTTTATAGATTACATCTTTTATGTCAGTCTTATTATTTTTGGATTCCTAACTACTTGTTAAACAACATGAAAAACTTTCCTCAAAGTTAAATCAACAAATTGTAAAATTGAGTGAACAAGGAATAAAATGACGTAACCTTTTATTATCATCACGTTTGTAGCTGCCGGCTCATTACTTAGCCACAACACGGTAGGCGTGGAGTTACTTCCGTCGAAACCGGACACCATGGAGCGACCAAATAAAATTAATGTTTATTGCCTTCCGCTGAAATCACACTTAAATTAAGGGGTTGAGTTTTACTAAGGTTCTTTTTCTTTTAATTCTAACACACTAATCAATTTACTGTACTTAATCCAATTGTTTTAATAAAGTTATTCCTTGTTTTTAAACATGACTTTCAATGATTAAATTACAAATAATTTTCTAAATATCTCTTCCCTTGCCAAGATAAATTTAATGTTATGAAAATTTATAGTAAATTTTGAAAAAAATGTTGATATCAGTTTTCAATTTCAGTATTTTAAAAATAAAGTTTATTATCGATTTTTAAAATTAAAATACAAGACAATATTCAAATTAATTTTATTATCATTAAGTGCGGAAAATATAGTAAGTGGATGATCAACTTTGCTTATAAAAACCTCGTCTTCGGTCAATTTTCTGATTAAACAGTAAACAATATTAAAAGCGGATCAATCATGTCATGGTATTGCCGTAATTTTACAAAACTTTTCCGCAACATCTTGCTCTAACATAGTTAAAAAGAAATTGGTACGATCAAGGTTATCAAGTTATAAATAATAGTCAAAAGATGTAGGGATTATAAAATATCTGGTCATATACAGTATTTAATAAAGGAAAAAAGGGCTGAAAAAAATTAAATGAATATAATAAACAATATTCATGTCACCGACATGCCGAAGAAGATTAGGTTTTACTTCAAGAAGTCAGAAGTTAGAAGTCAGACCTTTATTCTTTGGTGACTTCTTTTAGTAATTCTCACCATATCTAAGAAAGTTATGAGCTTATGGACAATTTCAAATAAAAATTTTATGACAAAGAGCCATAACTTTTTGTCTTTCTCTTGTGAGATTTAAAACCTTGAACTATCTTATTAATAAATTAATTTAAGTAACGTCAGCTTAATTACCAGATAGTTAACTCATACCGTACTTCTATCGATATACAATATAAACCGACAGTAATTGACACAAGCTTCATACACAGGGCCAGAGAGCCGAGAGCATTCCACAAAGCGGTGTAAAATATAGATAAGGTATCTTTATGTATCGTGCTAAGATAAATTGACTGCGCAAGTGCCGGTGAAAACAAAGCAATATTATCCGGGCTAGTGAATGCGATCGTCTCGCTACGCTCCGCACAGAGGCCCCCATAATTTCCAGGAGGCAAATTAATCCGGGAACGGGCAGGCCGATCGGCGCCGGCCAACGCGTCCCCGCATACTAATGCTATTGTTTATCGAAGGGGCTAATCTGTGCGTACCAGCCGTTACTGTCCACTCTAGAAATTATAACGGATCACTTTCGGTCTCGTCTAATCCGCCGCCAGCGAGTCAGACGTGGCCGTTCGCTCGGCGGCGATTCATCATTCAAATCGCGTTGCGATTGATCGTTACGCACATTGACTTCGCTGTAACGCAGACTGCAAAGCTTAAAATTGATAAAACGAAATAAAGAAAAGGTCCAAAACGTTAAAATGGAGGTGTTTCATAATCACTCAGAAAAACTGACAATCCTAACAAAAATTTATAGATTTTTTGTACTAATGCAATTTCAAACCTTAGTGAGATTTTTTAACTATTAGAGAACAGTTTTTTAGTTTATCGATTTAATGATGGAAGGAATTCTAAACGGTGCAAAATTTGTTTAAACTACAAAGAAATGTTCTGGCTCTGCATACAGTGAACTGCATTAGGATAGAACTACAGTGAGGTTACTATACAATAAATATACAAGTAAATAAATATACGCTGTTAGTAATGCATTGATAACAATTAGAGGTGACAATCCTAAGTAAAAGTTACAAGTTTCAGAGAGAAGATACAATTAGCACTTTCTGCACAGATCGGACACAAAATGAATAATTTAAAAAACTGACGATAACTTAGATTATCTAAGACAGGGGTGAGCAACCTTTTTAATCAATGGGCCAATTTAAATCGAAAATTTTTTTGGCGGGCCGCCCATAATAATTTACGAAACTTTATTTTTTAAAAATATTAGAATAATAAAACATAAAATTAAAAAAAAGTAAAATTTCATAAAAATTTTAATGCAAGGTAAAAACAAACAAGAAATGAACAGAAAAACGAACAAAAAATATTTCGGTTCAGTATGTACTACCATTTTATTATAATTAATTTTATAACAATATATTGATGGGACAGATTCGATAAAATAAAATCAATTTTAGAAATGCTTGACGGGCCGCATAAACATGTTTAACGGCCCTCGGGCCGCGCGTTACTCATCCTTGATCTAAGACATTCTGACATTCGGACGTTTAAAGTCTCAGTCTGCCCCGTGCCCATGAACACTGAAAAGGGTTCGAAACTTCTGGAACTAAAATAAGAAATAAACGCGATAAATCCATAAAAATAGTCTCATTTAGTAAGCTCGGTACTGCTAAAAACACGATCAAAACTAAAAAAAGTCAACCAATTATCTTAGGATGTGTAAAGCTGCGAAAGTACGGTCCCTCGCTGAGTGATAATAAAGGTAACCCTCTGTTTCTCGTCTGCGGCGCCTTTATTGTTATCGAATAAAAATAATCCCGGGATTTTTTGGGATGATCGTAAATTATGGCGGATACCGCAGGGGTGCGAGAGGCGC